GACGCGGCTGGCGGGGGGACGCGGGGTTGCCGCGATGGACTCGCTGGCGGCGCCCCAGGACCGCCTGGTGGAGCAGCTGTTGTCGCCGCGGACCCAGGCCCAGAGGCGGCTCAAGGTGTGTGCGGGGTAGGAGATGTGGGTCAGTATGTGTGTGCGCCAGCCTGGGCCATGCGACCTAAGGACCCCGCGAGCTCTGGGCGTGACACGGGCCAGAAGGGCCAGAAGGGCCAGGGTCCGCGGGGGGGGTGGGCTCCGGGACCTGCTGGCAGGAGAGGCTCCTTGCGCACCGATGTCTATAAATAGCCCTTGCGCCGCCGTCGCCGCTGCCCCCGCGGCTGGATCGGGGCCAGCTGGGGCCTCCCACCCCCTGGTACTGTTGGGAGGAGTGAGTATCGGCTCCTCCCGGCATGGAGACCTTCGGGTGTGTCTGAGGGATCTCTGATCTGGTGCCCTCCAATCACAGGCAGAAAGGAGGGCAAGACCTGTGCCTGCTGCGCCTGACACCCCTGCCCCCCTACACACAATCTCTGAGGTCCCTGCGAAACCCCTCGCTGAGGCTGGGCAGGGCAGGAGTGCCTTCTGCCACCCCCTTACCTGCCTTCCAACCTTCCAACCCTTGCCCACAGGCCTTACCTCATTTCTGCCACTGAAGCACCCCACCCCAGGTACTATGCCCTCTGCTGCCTTCTCAGCCCTAGTCAGGTGGGGAGAGGGCATGGGGCTGCCCCAGGAGTCCCAGTGTGCCCCTGACATGCCCTGCTCCCGCCCCCAGGATATCGACAAGCAGTACGTGGGCTTCGCCACACTGCCCAATCAGGTGCACCGAAAGTCAGTGAAGAAGGGCTTCGACTTCACACTCATGGTGGCTGGTGAGTGCGCCAAGCTCTGGGTGGGTGGCTGGGGCCGCTGGCCAGCCGGGCTCAGCCATGGGGACCACGGACCTAACCTGAGCCCTTTGCTGTACCTGTGGGCAGGTGAGTCAGGCCTGGGGAAGTCCACACTGGTCCACAGCCTCTTCCTGACCGATTTGTACAAGGACCGGAAGCTGCTCAGTGCTGAAGGTGAGTGGTCCCCACAAAGTCCTGGCACTGATCCAACCCCTGGGACCCCTCAAAGGGTGCCCTTCCAGGACCAGCCCCTCCCCTCTCCTCCCGCAATGGGGGTCCCCTGGCCCACTTATCTGCCCCCACTCAGGGCCTAAGAGGAATGGCCCAGACCACAGTGGGGCCAGGGCCAAGACACTGGGATGCATGCAGACAGGGTCCTGGCTGCCTGGGGTGGGGGGTGAGGGTCCCAAACAATGCCTCCCCCCAGAGCGCATCAGCCAGACGGTGGAGATCCTAAAGCACACGGTAGATATCGAAGAGAAGGGGGTTAAGCTGAAGCTCACCATCGTGGACACACCAGGCTTTGGGGATGCCGTCAACAACTCTGAGTGGTGAGGAAGGCTTGTCTTGGGGATGGTCTCTCCCACCTCCCCAGGCCGGGAAGTGGGTGGCTCTCACAGCTGGGCCTCACACTTCCTCCCACCCCAGCTGGAAGCCCATCACCGACTACGTGGACCAGCAGTTTGAGCAGTATTTCCGTGATGAGAGCGGCCTGAACCGCAAGAACATCCAGGACAACCGGGTGCACTGCTGCCTGTACTTCATCTCTCCCTTTGGGCATGGGTGAGTGGCTGCCTGGGGCCTGGCTCAGGGGCCCACCCACTTTCACAGCCCCCTCACTGTACCACCACCACCCTCACCATACCACCCCCCTCAGCATTGCCATCACTGCACCCCCTTACTACACCCTCACTGCATCTACCACTGCCCCTGGCTGCTCTCTGCAGGCTTCGGCCAGTGGATGTGGGTTTCATGAAGGCTCTGCACGAGAAGGTGAACATCGTGCCCCTCATCGCCAAAGCGGACTGTCTCATCCCCAGTGAGATCCGGAAGCTGAAGGAACGGGTGAGCCTGCTGTAGCAGGGGGGCCTGACCCAGGATTCCAGGGCTGAGAGCACCAGGTGTACTGACCCCAGGTGTCACCGCACCTGACCCAGGGGACCTGGCCAGCTCCAAATCTGACAGCCCTTGCCCTGCCGCAGATCCGGGAGGAGATTGACAAGTTTGGGATCCGTGTGTACCAGTTCCCCGAGTGTGACTCTGATGAGGACGAGGACTTCAAGCAGCAGGATCGCGAACTGAAGGTGAGAGTGCCACCTGGTGGGCAGGAGGAGGAAGGTGGTAAGGGGCAGGGGGACCTGTGGCCAGAGGGCTTTCTCCTGTCCACACAGGGCCCTGAGGAGGGCAAGCACCGAGCTCCGATCTGGCAGGGTGAGGGTCACCCATGGCCCTGGCTGACCTGTGGTGGCAGTTTGGGCCCCATATAGGTGCTTAGTGGGTCACTGAGCACTTGCCTGGAGGTTGTAGTGAAAGGCACAGGGGCCACTGGCCAGGCTCCCCTCACCCTCCCCTGCTTGTCAGGCACCCTCTTCTCACAGGGCATGAGTGGAAGGGCCCAGCCCAGTGGCCCCCAAAATTCTGAGCCCCAGAGGGTGGTAGCTTTGGGAGCCCTGTACAGCTGGGGTGATTATAACTACGCCCAGGCCAGAGGGCGGGTGGCCACCAGACCAGGAGTTCGGCAATGCCCTCAGACCCAGCCAAAGCGGGGGAGGGCTCAGTACCAGGAGGCATGGGCCCAGCCCTGAGGGAGAGAGGACGTAGCTGGGACGTGGCCCTTGGTGGGTGAGGAGCGAGAAGGGAGGACATGCCTGATGGGGCACAGCCCAGCAGTGGCCAGAGGAGTAGCTGCTGTACCAGTTCTGGCTCCAGAGGGCAGCAGAGGGGCCATACGGAGGAGCGACGCTAGGATCTGTTTGCGGGTAGTTGGTGATGGTGATACTGGGAGGGCCAGCAGGGGTGCTGAACACCCATGGCCCTTCCAACCACTAACCCTGCACCCAAACTGAGAAAACCTTGTCCCCCATCCCCAGGAAAGCGCCCCCTTCGCGGTTATCGGCAGCAACACGGTGGTGGAAGCCAAGGGACAGCGGGTCCGTGGGCGACTGTACCCCTGGGGGATTGTGGAGGGTGAGTTCAGGCCTGGGGCACCGGGTTCCGGGTGGGAAGGCTCTTGGGCCGGCACCCCACCTACCGCCCGCTCCTGCCCTGCAGTGGAGAACCAGGCGCACTGCGACTTCGTGAAGCTGCGTAACATGCTCATCCGCACGCACATGCACGACCTCAAGGACGTGACTTGCGACGTGCACTACGAGAACTACCGTGCACACTGCATCCAGCAGATGACCAGGTGAGCCGGCCGCACCTCGAGCGGGCCCCGCCCCCGGAACTGGACCACGCCTCTCCTGTCTCGGCCTCGCAATTCCAAAACCCGTGGCCGCTTCCCAGCGGCCTGGATTATATCCCAACCTCCAAACTGGTCCCCCAGCGCCTTGTCTCCTGAGGTGTAGGGACTCGGGAGGGCAGGACCTTGGCAGTGACAGGGGTCGGCCAGGCCTCCTCCAGCCCACCCTAGGAGCCTCCTAGCAACTATGTCCTTTCTGGCCTTCCAGCAAACTGACCCAGGACAGCCGCATGGAGAGCCCCATCCCCATCCTGCCGCTACCCACCCCCGATGCTGAGACCGAGAAGCTTATCCGGATGAAGGATGAGGAGGTAGGTGGGCAGGTGGAGAAGGGGTAGGAGCTAGGCAGAGAGAAAGTGGGGGCTGGGCGGCG